CCCCCCCCCCCGCGAGTGCACAAATTTTTGTGCACCGGGCCCCTAGTATATATATAAAAGGCTAATATGCAAAGTGTCCCCTCGGGAGTTTGGGAGACCGAGAGTTTGATCACTCACTATGATGTGTGCTGACCATCAGGGGGCAGCACGGAACGAAGGGAGACCCGGCCAGCAGCCGGAAGGCCCTGATTGGCCCTGATCGCCGGCCAGGCCTAGGGACCCTACCCATGCACAAAATTCATGCACCGGGCCTCTAGTATTAGAATAAAAGAAGACAAAAATACAATATAGCCTTTCTTAAGAGTAGAAAAAGAAGTTAATTCTTGCAAGTACAATGCCTTAAAACAAAACTCTTGAAAAGATGAAAACGTTTCAATTTTTCACTGCAACACTTCACCCCTCCTCCCCCCCCAAAAAAGGGGGAAAAAAACCTAATGAAAAAATAAAACCATGAGTGAAAGCTGTTCCTGAAAACTTTGCAGAATTGTAACAGCTTTCTCCTGGTTAAATTGATTGGTATAGCAACATTATAAAATGACTATTAGGATTCATTGTGCACAACAGAAAGTGCTGAAATGTCAGCAGACTGTACAGCAAAAAGTAATGGGTTCTGAACCCCTGTTAGTCAAAAATGATTTTGTTTCAAATTAGAAATTGATTTTTTTTGGACACAAGCCCTTTCCAGGCTTCCGGCTTCTGTGGCCGGGCCCGGGAGAGATTAACCTCTGCCTTGGCAAGGGCTGGCCAGATACCTTTCTCCAAGTGCCTTTTCCATCGCAGCTTTCTAATGTGGCTGTGGTCTTAACCAATCACACAGGTTATTTGTCCCTTTGCTATTACACTACGTTTTTCTCATTGTGGCATTTTATTTTAGTGCTGACATACAACACAAATTTGGTGACAAGTTAACAGAAGACTGCATTAAGCCTTGCGGTGCAACCACCACACCAATTCTGACTGGTTCTCCACTCTGCAAAGTGCGATGATTGAGAATGAGAAAGCCCCGGAAGAGCTGCTCCTCTCTGAAGGACCACCCACAGAGAGGGATGATGGTTCCATCTCAGGTTCTGAGCCTCCTGAATTGCATATTTGTTTCTATGTTACCCGAAGGCGATAGAAATCTGCAGAACTTTTCACTATGTCAAACAAAATTAACTTTTGCTTTTGTTTCAGATTGTGCCTAGACTCCCTTCTGAAGTTTGGACTAATTATCATCAATTATCTGGGAGAGAATTAAACAATTTCTAGATTAATCACAATTAAAACCAAACAACATGACAATGCTGGCAGACAGGAGGAAAGGATGGAGCCACACCTGCAGCTCTCATAAAGCACCCACATCTCTTGGGAGGCAGGTGAGAGCGGCTGGAGAGCTGATGAAAACGTGGCCACTTTGCCCTAATCGGTTTGGCTCAGTGGATTGAGCATCAGCCTGCGGACTCAAGGGTCCCAGGTTCGATTCCAGTCAAGGGCATGTACCTTGGTTGCAGGCACATCCCCAGTAGGAAGTGTGCAGAAGGCAGCTGATCGATGTTTCTCTCTCATCGATGTTTCTAACTCTCTATTCCTCTCCCTTCCTCTCTGTAAAAAATCAATAAAATATATTAAAAAAAAAAAGCAAACGGTTTAAAAAAAAGAAAACGTGGCCGCTTATACCAGACCTGGGCCGGGGCAAGCCCAATGACAAAGAGGCAGATCAGAAGGAAATCAGGGTTACTGGCTGTGAGCAGGAAAGAAAGGAGTGTGGAAAGAGGTGGGAGCAGAGGGTGCCACGCCCTTTTTGGCCCTTTGTTTCTGGTGGAGCTCTTCTGTACAATATGCCAAACTCCTCGCACTCTGCTCCTAAATCCTTCCCTTCATAATTCCAGGAGAACTTGGGGTGGTGAACACACAATACAATATATGGATGATGTGTTAGAGAATTGTACACCTGAAGCCTATATAATTTTATTAAACAATGTCACCCCAATAAATCCAATAAAAAAGAAAAAAAAATAATTCCAGGAGAGATGAAGTTAGAGCCACTCCAGAAACAACTGGGAAACACAATTACATTTAACTGCTTCACTCAACATTTCACACAGTTGTTTATAATTGATTTAAAAAAATCCATGACATATAAAATAAGAAGAATCACTGGTACTTAAGACTGCTAGGCAATACACGCTTCAGACTTATGAGGTTCTGTTGCAGCCACAATGTAGAATTTATCCATGACCTCTCCTCCACCCTCCCCATATTTCCAGTTAATTGAAGATTAACTGTAGTTGTTAAAGTTTACTTTCCCGGCAGAGATTTATGTTCAGTTTCTTGTCCTCCTTACTCACTTTGAGCATTATTTTGTGTCTATGATCATACTTACTGCTGAATAATTCTTACGGTTTGCTGCTTGCAGAAAGAGGGACAAATGGGATAGTTTCTCGTATGAGTATTCTAAGAGAAATGCTGATGTAATTCATGGATGGGGATGGGATACCTATGGCCTTGCAGGCACATGTTAGCTTGTGACATATTTAACCTGCTCAGGGTTGTAGGAAATCATCTGGAGGTCGTGGTTAGTAAGATTCTAAAACTCCCCAGAAGCAGGTTCTCATTTTGCTCCTATAGACGCTAAGCTTACCTCTTTGGGGTCGATATGTATCTGTCTTTTGACATGTCCACAGGGCATCATCTTCCATAGGTGACTGAAACCCAACTGTTTTCTTTTCTCTTCTAGTCTCTCCACTGTTACTGGACTCTGGATGCTTTTTGATGGATGACGATGTTCCAAGCAGCCAACCATCACACGCTGACTTCAACAAACTGAAAAGAATAGATATGAGTGAGCTGCAGAGAGCACAGAAGGGGTACAGATTCTTCAAAGGTGTATAAATTCCGCATGAGTTGAAATACAATTCATGGCAGTAAAGACTTTCTTTTTCTTATTTTTTAAAACTGAGGTATAATTTAAATAATTTATTGAAGGTCTATTTTGTGTCCTGTCACAACAATGTTGGGGAAGAAATTGTCTTTATCCTCCAAAAGCCTGTACTTGGATTTGGGGAACTGAGACTCAAACCCAGGAAACTGCTAATAAAGCCGCGGAGTATGACAAAGAGCCAGAGTATCTGCAGAAGTAACAAGAAAAGCAAACTAAACAGGACCTGCGTAACTGAAGTGCTTCCAAGTACCGAAGATGAACATCAGGAATTAAAATATCACCAATTTGCTTCAAAGTGCATTTGTGTTTCCCATTTTTAATTGTCAGAGTATTTATTATGTACCCAGAGTATAGAAGAAGGCAGTAGAATAGTGCATGTGGAAGAGTTGGTCTCTGTCCTCACATAATTCCATTATAAAGCAACAAGGTAAATACGGAGTAAGAGAAATTTTAGTAAAAATAAACACGTGCATATGCTTTGCTCTAAACTAAACTGTGTTCCCATCTTAGCACATTTCCTCTCATAACATTTTATTTTTTAGAGTAATGTTCTGATGTATATTTATACCTTACTATTCAACCAGCCTTTTCCTTCTAACATAAGTTCACCACAGACTCATGACACTTTGGTTTCTCTTCTCCATGCCCATAAAGTAAAAATTAAAAGTGAAGAAAAAGACTTCTACTCAAAAAGTAAAGTTCTAAAAATTAAGATGTTTAAACTCCCCAGAAGCAGAGATAATATCTAGATGAGAAAGAACTGATAGAGTATTACTGGATCCATTACTAAGCCCCAGTGGCCCTGGGGCAGAAGTCAAATCATGTAAACCCATCAAAGTCACGGACCTTCTGTTTGTATTGATCAGAATTTTTAGTAATGTTTGTTCATATTTTAATTAATTAATAAAAAACAAGAAATCAAATGGCTTTATGCAGTATAGCTTTATGCTGGCATAATGCAATGTATCATATTTATACTCTAAAGATTTTCTTCTTTAGCAGAACCTAGGGATCACTTTCCCATGAGGAACACTAATGGATGTGTATCTTAGCTCATAAAACCTCTATTCATGGAACAGGAAAACAGGAGACTAAAACTAACTCACTGTGAATGTAAGATAAATAACTTACACCAGAAGCCGCAAACCCAGGCAAATCCAACTCTGCACATCTGCTTGTTACTGTGACCAAGACTACTACTGGCTTCCCCCAAGTTCATTCATTCGCAGCTCAGCTGAGCTCCCAACACCAACCAATTCCGCTCAGTTGCAATACCAATTGCTTCCTGCTTCTTTACCCCAGTTTACACAGGAGCTCTTCTGCAGCTTCATTCCAAACCCCATCCTGGTAATCCTCTAACTCAACAGGGAACTTGGTTTCTAATTTTCCTAAAATAAGAATGACTGTATAAAAAAGTTGTTATTTCATTTGCATTTATTCCCATCTTTACCCATCTATGATTCCTCTCTTAATATCTCTGAAGAAAATCATACCTTTTACTCATACTATTTAAAAAATATATTTTTATTGATTTTTTTTTGAGAGAGGGGGGGGGCG